ACATATACAGTTGTTTTTAAAATTGAAAGATGACACAGATTGATTTTTATAGAAATAAAATATTCGTAAAATTAGGAAGGATGAAGTAATAAAAATTGCAGAAAATCTATTTTTTCTAAGGATTGATAGAATCAGTATTACATTGATTGAAGAATTGAAATCATACATCTAAAGAATTATAAAAATGCACTATAGCTTTGAAAATAAAATTTTTATAATAATTAAAATAAAAATATAGAATTAGCTAATTTCAAGAATCTTAACAGATCTAAAAGAATCTTTACTTGATATGAAAATTTTGATTAACTTTTGGAATATATATTAGAATATGATGCTACAATAAGTCAAAAGATCAATCAATAGATTCAAATTTAATTTTCGTCATGTATATAATATACTACAATATATAAGATTAATACATAAAATATCTTTGAAGGATTTTAGAGATAAAAATAAATATAAACATATTTATATAAAAATATTAGTTATATAAAAATATTTATTGAAACTTATTTATTAAATTATAAACAATTTAATTTTGCATTAGATGAAGCGAGATAAAAATAGAATACGATAGCGATATAACGGAGACAGAAAGAATGTCATGCTCTTTCTATCTCATTTCATCTAATTCAGACTTCAATTATATTTATAACTTAATAAATAAGCCTTGAAAATTTTTATATATCAACTTTTCTGTTTGTTTAGTCTTTAGAATCGATTCTTCAAACTCTCCATATATATAGTATATATAATCTTCACAAAAATATTGAGATAATAATATCTTTTTATTCTAAAAACAAGACATAGTTTGGAGATTCATTGTAAATGTAACATTGTAAAAGCTTATTTTATTTATTTAATTCTTCTTAAGAACTAACTTTCTAGAAAGCAAATAAGAATAATGAAGTTTTCTTCATGACAAATAATTTTTTATAATTTTTCGAGATAAATTACTGTATTTGCGAAATATATTAATATAAATATATATAATAATCTTTTTCTATTTATGTAATTTTATATGGCTTATATACCAACATGATTTCCAACATGAGGATATATATCATTTTTCAAAAATTTGTTCAAACCATTAGCAAGTTTTCCATTCATTTCTCCGACTTCTATATTATTATATTTTGTATACAAGTGCCAAGATACTTCTAACAACGCATGTAAAAATTGCCAGATTTCAATCTTTTCAAATGGATAGTGGGGATCTTTCACTATTGTACTTTTATTTTTTGCTATAATATTATTTCAATAATAGATAATAATGTTTAATATATATTAATAAATAAATTTTAATATTTATATAAATAGATTTATAATTATTGATGAATAATAGTAAAATAATGTTCCAAAATATTTTTTTGTGTCGATAAATATTTTTATCTATAGACAATATATTATATATACATATATTAACTATTTACCTATATGTTTATCGATTGTGGAGAGAGAAATTTTTTTTTGAATATTACAATCTCTCCATAATTGCCATAAACATAGTCTGCTCATTACAAGATTACATTTTGGTGCTGACTTTGCAAATAATTTGGCATAATCATTATAAATTTGACGTAAACGAAGGATATGAATCATTAAACATTTGTATATCCAGCATTCTTCATAATTCCATTCAGATTTTGTCATATCTATTACATCAGAGTTAAAAAGCTGTCCTTGTGGAAAATCATTTTCTTCATTTATAACTTCATTTATAACAATATCTATACGAAATTAATAATATAAATAATAAAATTAATAACAAGTTACTTAATATAGAAGTATAGATAGTATAAAAAAAAATAATATATTAGTTTTATTAATAGTATAATAAATATAAATAAATAACCGTTTGAAGGTACATGTAAACAAGCACAAGATTCGTTTTCACAACTATAACATCTTCCAGATGAAATTGAAGGTTCAAAATGTGGTTCCAAACTTTCTGGATCCAGTAGACGAGTTATGTAATAAGTTAAACACGGAAATTGTTCTGGTTTTAGGATAGGTGTTACGAAAGCTTTTGCCAATTCGGCAGGTTTTTCAATAAATCTATAAATAATTAAACTGTAAAGATATCTTTAAATGTTATTGCTTTTATGATTATTTTCATATTTTATTCTGATTCTATTTTAATAATATTTATTTTATTAATATATTTCTGATTTTATATATTATATAACTTATAAAATAAATATTATATTTTTAATTATTGTTAAGTAAATTTAATTGTATCTGAAATATTATGCAAAGATTTAAAACATGTAAAACAAAAAAAAAATTTTGATTCTCTATGAATGAAATTTAAAGAATAATATAATATTATTATTTAAATTTTCTCTTTATTTTTTAAAAACTTTTTTTTATTATTTTTTTCTCTTATATATTAAGCTTATATTTAAAGTTTTATATTATTATTATAAATTTTATAATATTTCAATTATTGATTTAATTTTTTTTTTAAAAATTCCATTCATATTTATATTATTTATATAAACGCATAATTATTTAAACTTTTTTTATATATAATATATGAAAAAAATAACAATAAATTAAAAATAATTTTTTTAATTTTTTTATAAATTAAAAAAAATAATAAATATAATATGTGAAAGAAATAATATCTAATAAGTAATATTTAAAAGTTATTTTTATATTTTTTAAATATCACATATAATTGTCACTTTTATTTTCACAATTTAATTCCTACCAAATATATGTATATATATATGTTGGTTGTCATTATATAAATAATAAATGCAGATAATTGTTCATATATATTTATATTTATATTTATATATATTACTATATATGTATATATATATATATATATACTATATATATATTCTTAATGAATAAAAAAATAATCTATATTAATATGACTATTGAAATCATAGTGATTCTTACTTTGGTTTCATATCTTTAATTACTATGCATTCTTCTTTATCTTTTACTTCTAATTCATTTTCTAAATTATTATCTTTCATAATATCAGCACATAAAATATCATTCAAAAATAATGGATTAGCTTCGAATTTTTCCCCATTATTTCCTATATATATATAATAAAAGTATATTTTTAATTAAGATAATGTTTTGAACGAATAAAATAAATATATGTATATATATGTATATTAATATATTTGTGAAATAGATTTGGAGAATCGATTTTAAAGATAAAATAAATATATATATAATTTGGTATACAAAAATATTTTGATGAGATTGATTGAAATTATTTCTTAAGTTATAAACAATTTAAGTTTGCAAAAAATAAATGAAATGAGATAGAGACAGTATGAAAAGATAATGTAATAGAGATAAATCTATATTTCAATTATTTAAATCTTAAATAAATCTCCACATTTTTATATAATAATTCTTTTCTTTGTTTTTTGAGCTCTAGAATCAATTCTTCAGAGATATTCTATAAATATATTTTTTTCTTTTAAAACTTATTGTAAATATCATTATATTAACTTGTTAATACGATTATAAGTAACGAAATATTTAAATAATTTTTTTATGTATAAAGTAACAAATTTAAAAATACGAATTCAGTTTTAAATATATTATATATTTTTAAATTTAATTTAAGTTTAATAATAAAAATATTTACGTTACCAATTATAATTCCATAACCATGTTTCTTATTATCCTCCCAATATCCAGAATACTTTGCTCCACCGACAGAATTAAATTTCATATCTCCTATATGAAAACAATCTAATTAATATTTTTAATTTCGTTTTAAAATAAAAATATAATCCACCTTTGCCATGGCGCAATCCATGACGCCAATAGCCTGTGTAAGATGCTTCTTGTGGCCAAGTAAAAGTTCTGTTGAAGAATCCATTCCATACATATTCTCCATAACTAATGTATATTATAATATATATAATTTCATAATATTAAATATATATTATATTATAAATCTAAATATTATAATATTAAAAATATATTAAGATGAAAAGATGTTTTATTTTATATTATATATTTTTGATTAATTATCATAAGAATTGAAATTAACAAACCCATGCATTGAACCACATTTCCATTCTCCACGATAAAAATTTCCATTGGTCCAGACCATAGTCCCGATACCATCACGAATTCCATTTTTCCATTGACCCACGTAACGAGCACCGCTTGGATAAATCCGTAATCCAATCCCATTCATCTTGTCCATTACCCAATCGCCATCGTATGAACCATTATCATCATAACGAGCATAACTTTTGTAATAAACATATTGATTGTTTAATCAACATAATGACAAGCTCATATATAGATGAGAATATATTTATAGTTTTGCTATTACATCATGAAAATTTATATAAAACATTTTTTTGTATAATTTAGTAATTTTCGAGTTATTTGGAACAGTCTGTATCTTGAATATATATTTGTATTTTGTATTTAATATATTATATATTTTTCCAAATTTTCTTCTAAATTCTAAAATCTTAAATAAATTTTTTATTAAAATAACGAAGAAAATACAATATAGAACATTGAAATACATATAAAAATATTCTCAATTTTTGATAGCTAGAATAGATGAAATCCATGAATGTTTAGGATCTTATCTTATAATAATCCAAATTTGAATTCTGATCATGGCAAAATGACAATGTGAGAACATTGTAACAGAAAGAATGTAAAGAAAAGGTATTCCCATATTCTTTTTTTAATTTTTGCGTTTATTTTTACCCTACTAATATTTACATTATATGTATAATAACGCGGTAATTATATAAATAAAATTTATTAATATAAAAAATCAGTATAGATTATATTTTGAAATTATATTTATAATTTATAATATTTATAATTATTATAAATTAAAAGTAAGAAATATTTGAAAACAATAAAATATTTTTTATCTAGTTTTTTATCTAGTCTATATTGCATATAATATTTTTTTTTATTTTTTTTTTTTTAAATTATAAATTTTATGTCTGTAAAGTATTTCATCATATGCTATTTTTTTTTTAATACCTACATATATTTTAATTTTCATATTCATGTAAAGTTCTAATTGATTCTAAGTTTTAAAATAATTATTTTGTATAACATACCCTTTACCATGTCTTAAGCCCTTATACCACTGACCAGTATACATGTAACGATTTTCTCCATCCACCATCATTCCTCTACCATGTCGATAACCATTTATAAAATCACCTTCGTACCAACAAACATTATTCCATTCCAGTAAACCTTTCCCATGCATAAGATTTTGTTCAAATGTTCCCTGCGAAACTGTATTATTTTTAATAATAAAAAATTAAAGAGAAAATTGTTTATAATATATAACATTTTTATTTACTTAAATAAAATTTTCTATTTTTTAAAAATTTAGTCATTTTTATTTATTTTAAAAGAGTGAAATTATAATTAGAATAAAAATTATAATAAAATATATATATATATAATACATATAATATAAATGTAATATAAATTTAACAAAATACATAATTTTTTGAAATAATGTTAGTAAATTATGAATTTATGAATTATGAATTAAAAATTTATTAGATTGATAAAAATTAATTTAACTTAAATAAAATTTCAATTTTTATTAAAATATTATCAATCTTATTACACAATAATCTGATTTTATTGATTGAAAAATATATCAATGTTTTAATATAATGTCTAAGAAAATAATAAATTGAAAATTCTTACTTTATATTGAGCACCATTAACCCATCTATAAACGCCTTCACCTTCCATCATTTTCCTACTAATACGACCACTGTACGTATTATTATTAATGAATGTTATATTTGCAAATTCATCGGGCAATTTTAACTTCCAAGATAAATCCATGTTTGTATCGCTAATATATCCTTCAAATTCATCTTTTTTATTTCCAACTACAATTTCTTCTTCATAATATTGTTCTTCATCAATACATTCTTCATCACTAAGTATATCATCATCATCAATTATTTTCTTAGGTTTTTTTCTTAAATATTTACCATCCCATCTGTATTCAGTAATAAATTTTTAATAATAATTTTAATTGTTAATGTACTTTACTCAATATTATAATAAACAATAATTACATTATTCATTTTCTGTAATATATATATTATATATATTATATTATATATATATAAATATATTATATATATTTATAATATATATTATATATATATATAATATATTTATATATATATATAACATATATAAATATTATAAATTTATTATAAATATTATATATATAATATATATAAATATTATATTTTCTATATAATAATATAACATAAAAACATGAAATTCAAACGGAAATATAATTTAAAAATAAAAAAATAAAATTTTTTCTTTTAGAAAGAGAAATAGCATATCATGTTTAATGATTTAAAATAACGAATTTAAAATAAAATTTCAAACCGAAAGTTCTATATTTCTATATTTTTATAATTTTTATATTTTTTTATTATTTAAAACTATATTTAAAACTTTCTTATAAAATTTTACTAGTTGAAAAACAAACAAATTCTTTTTGTACTAACAAAAATAAAAAACTGTCAATTTTATGTTAGTCAGAAATTGTAGAAAATAAATGATATATACATATATATATATATGGATGATTCAAATTTTATTTACAAACAATATCATATATAATTAAAAAAATAAGAAAAAAACATTATTACAAAAATATAATAAATATTATATTATAAATATAAATGATTTATTAAAAAGTTATAAGAAAAATAACGATATAAATATATATAAATAGATATAATATAAAAATATAGATATAGATAGAGATAATATAGATATAGAATATAATAGAGATAATATAGATAGAGAATAAATATAGATATAGATATAAAAAATATATATAAATAGATATAATAATGATTTTTTTAAATGATTTAAAATATAATAAAATTTGTTTATAATATTTTGAATAAAATTAATATCAAAGAATATTGATATATTTATTTATATCATATAATATATACAAAACATTTGAAAAATATATATTTGCATAAAAATCCAGTCTAAATCATGAACATTAAGACTTAAAAACAAATAACTTTTTAGAATATTATAAATCAACATGTTTCTATAATTTATTAAACAAAAAATTCGTTCCTATTTTTATTACAAGCTTTTAGTAAAATATTTACAAATTTATATTTATATGCTATATTGTATTCTTATTTTTATTCATACCAACATCATTTTATAAAAATAATCCTTAACATCCAATACATATATATGTAAAATATATTACAAATAATAATACATATATATTTATATATAGAGAAATTTTAATTAAGATTTTATAAAAAATTTATTATATTAAAGTAATAATTTATAATTTTTCTTCTATTTGTTTATAATTTTTATTTATGAATCAATATATGAATCAATATGATAAATGAAAATAATTGTATTGACTAAAATTTTAATATTGATAGTTTTATACTATCAATTACTTAATTAATTTATAAGAACTAAATTTATAAATAATGAAATTTGAATAAAGATTCAGTAAAAAGAAAAATAATTACTCTTTTACAAAATACTTCAAAATGTCATTGTAAAGAAGATAAATATATTCTTCCTTAATAGAATATTTACGACGTTTATCGGCGAGAATATCTTCAAAAGGCAATTCTGGTTCTAATTCAGGCTCTTCTTCTTCAATATCCTCCCTTTCTTCTTCCTCAACATATTCCAAAGAGCTAACCTTACGACATTTTTGTAATATTAATTCTTTTAACATAGAATTCATTTTTTCACAATTTTTTCTTTTTCAATAAACTTAAAACAAAAAATATACTTCCGCTGAATCGATTTAAAAATAACTTAATGCTTAATAAATTTATAATATGTTACATCCGTTTATATATTGTCAATTCTAAGAGATGTGAAGATATCAGAGATTCGATAGAAAATATTAAAAAGGAACATTTTATATAATTTTTTTTTTACAAATATTTGATACTATATTCAAAGTAATTTTCAATTAATTATTCGTGCAATATTCTGCGAAATAAAATATATTAAGAAAATATACATAATATTAAAAAGGAAACATGTTAACGAAAGGAAGATTAAACGTAAGATTGTTTTCTTAATTAATTATAAATCTTATTAATTATTAATCTTATTAATAATATAAACTATATACTATGTCTAAAATATCATTCATATGAAATTTATTTATGTATTTTAATATTAATATACATATAATATTATATATTTATTTAATTCAATATTATGTAGATCCATGTAATGTCATTTACATTTATATACAATTTATTTATTATATTTAATATTTTTTTCTTTTTTTAATTGCCTACAATTCTTTATTAATTATATATTAATAATATTAATTGTATTTTTATAGGCAAAATTAAATATTTTTAATAAATAAAGTATTTTCTTTAATTACACATATTTATTATTAGAAACATATCTAGGGTATTTCAATAATCTAGATATAATTAAGAAAAAAATAATTTTCATTGAAAAAAATATGGAACCGAAGTTTTCATATACAAAAATATATTTGGCTAAATCAAATTTGGAAACGTAATTAATTAAATATATATGGAATTATTATTAATAAATAAATAAGCGAAAATAAATAAAAAAATGTGGAATAAAATATTTTTTTTTAATTTATTTTTAAGAAAATTATATATTATATTATTATATTATATATTATATTATATTATATTATATTATATTATTATATTATATATTATATATATTGAATTTGAAAATAATAATTAAAAAATAAGATTCAATTAAAAATTAATTAAATATATATATATATATATTTGATTAACTTATAAGTTTGATTTTTTTGAAAATAAGCTTTTATTATCTGAATTTTTATATTATCAGAAATTGATAAGTTTTTAAAATACATTTTCTTAAAAACGACATTTCAAATTTTATTTAATCTTTTTTTTTTTTTACTTATTTTTTTGTATGTTGAATAATCTCTGCAGCGCATTGTATAAAATAAAATTACAATACTAAATGTATTTATTATTGTATTTAGAATAATATAAATATAAAAATTATAAATATTAATCATATTACAGGCCGCTCTTCCAATTTGTGAAGATGAAATTAAAGAAATGGAACCAATTATTTTCCATACTCCTGCAATTTATAATACTAAAGTAAAAATTCATAATTGGTAAGCATTCTATGCTTAAAGTAAATTTAAATAAATAAAAGAAAAAATTAAAAATTTTTATTTTCATATATAAAATGTTAATTTGTGATATATCTTTGGATGATCGATTCTAGAGATCAAAACAAACACAAAAATCAGTATACAAAAATGTTGATTGAAATTTACTTTCTAATCATTTAAAATAATTAAACAAAGCGAGATGAAAATAAAATGAAACGCTTTGTCTCTGTTACACTCTATTTCCCTGTTACATTCTGTTTCGTTTCATCTAATGCGAACTACAATTGCATACAATTTAAATAAATTCAACCGATATTTTTGTACATCAACTTTTGTATTTGTTTTTGCTTTTAAATATATAGAATAGATTTTAGAATCGATTTTTTACGAATATATTAATATCTTGCATAAATGTATAATCAAGATATACATATTACTTTTAAAAATCTTTTTTAATTAATAAAGTGATTAGTAAATTTAGTAATTTTGTTGTTGATTAGTAATTTAGTAATTAATAAAATGATTTATATTCAAATAGTAATTAATAATAATGAAAAAAATAATTCTTACAATATTGATACGAAAAAGAATATAATATTAACACGAAGGAAAATAAGTAAAACGAATGAGGGTATAACGCATATTAACCCTCCTTTTGTTATGCGTAGCAACGTATACGATCAAGGTTGATTTTAAGACTATTTATAATGTGACTTTTAATCGTACGTGCACGTAGTTTTATTTAAGATTAAAATTTAATCATAATAGAATAATAATTTAAATATTATAAAAGGTATATATAAACATTATAAATACTATAAAATTTAAATATTATAAAAAGTGAGTCATTAATATAATAAACTTCACGAGACAATAACATTGACAATTTTATTTTATTTTTTATTGGAATAAATCATTGACGTAAGTATCATTTTTTGTTATCAAAATTTTGAATCGAAAAACGTAATTAATAATATATATAATATTTTACAATGAAATTTTATATATTGTATTTTTTTAATAAAATTTTCTCTTGTTTACTAGAGAAATGAAATTCTTGAAAAAAAGTTTATTTTGTTTAAGTTATTTATCTTGTTTGATAGTTCATTCATAATAAGTTGATTATTTTTTAATATTAAATTAACTATAATAATATTCAAAGTATCAAAATCAATATTTTTATTTAAATAGTAATAATTCAATTGAGTTTATATTTATACTTTTAATGCATTTTAATTGATATGACTTTATATTAATAACTTGCATGAAAAAAAAAATGTAATTAAATTATTTTTAAATTAAGAAGATTATTAAAATTTTAATTCATGAGAAAATTTCTTTTAAAACATTAATAAATAAATAAATATTCTGGATTTTAAAGAATTCGAATTTCGAGAATTTTTTGAATTTTGAGATTCGACTTATAAATTTTCAATCAAGTTTTATCAACCTAAATATCAAATTTCGACTATTTAATAAAGCTTGATTTTTATAGGCAAATGCATACATTAGCAGAACCCAGAGATAACAAAGAAATATTTCCACCAAAAGGAAATCTCCATTTATCATCATATAAAAGATTGGGTCCAGGAGCTATTTGTACAGGAATTTCAGAAACACAAGCCATGTTATCACAAATAGAATTAAAAGATCAATATGAATCAATTATTCCGCATCGTGCTTTACATAAAATGAAGAAACTTGTAGAAGAAGTGTACGTATCAATCATTACATTAATTACATCATTATATCAAATATTAAAAAATATTTCTATTATACATTTTATATTTTAATATAATCATACTATATTAATATATATACTTTTGTTTTTTAATTATTATATTTACAATTAAATTGATCTCGAGATATCTTTAAATGTGAGTAAACTTCTCTGCACGAAATAACATAAATTTTGTTTAATTTTTTTTTTATTATTTTTCTTTTAAATAACCAGATGATCATGATACATTATTTTCTATTAGATTAGAAGTTAGAAGCAATAGAGATAATTTATTCTTTTCGTAGAAAAATTTGTCACAGAAAAATTGAACCATTTTTAAGGGTAGAGAAAGTAGTGTTAGTAAAATTATATATATGAATTTCTCTTCATTGAAAATCATTAATAAAAAATTAGTATTATATCATTAATAAAATAAATTAATGTAACTATATTAAAATAAATAAATTAGAAAATCGTCTTTCAAAAAAAGAGATTTTTCTTTAGAGAGATTGAAAATCAAAATCGTATATATCAAGTATTCAGTATATTTATAGTGATAACAGAAAATAAAAGTAAAATAATATTATATATTTGAAAATTTTAATTATATATAATATTATAATATTATTATAATATATATATATATATATATATATATAATATTCACTTATATATAATATAACATTATAATATTCCATATAAAAACATAAAAGCTTATAATTTCATGTATTAAATATTATAGTATGATTTGACAAAATTTCTAAAAAATATTAATATACAATTTGTTAGTAGAATGTCTTAAATTTTTAAGATATCTTAGTATAATTTCATAAAAGCTGAATTCAACACCAGATTTACATGAAATCTATATGTTCAATGATAATAAAAATAACTTTTAATAAAAAATTTGTTTATATTTATAAAAAAATAATAAAATAATTATTTATAGAAAAATAATATTATAAGAAAATCATAGCGATGCATGAATATTTTCGAGAAATAATACTATAAGAAATAAAATATATCGCAGGCCCGAAGAAGAAGAACCTACATTAACAGATATATTATACGATGCCGAAGAAGCTCGTAGAATGGATTATCAAACGACATCAGGAAGTCATTATAGATTACCTTATCCTATGAAACCTAGAGCATTACCATCGCCGCCAAAACCGGAACCATGGTTGTTACATCGACGAACTATTGGATACAGTCTGGAAGAATTGGAAAGGCGAAAGGGGATAAATGTGTTTCTGGACGATAACATGGAACTTCATCGACAAGTCGCAGATATAAAATTAATAAAGCATAAATTGCATTCATTTCGAGATTATAGTTTTCCAGAATATAATTATATCGATAAAAAAGAGTGCATTTCTCGACCAATTACCGATAAAATTGAAGAAGAAGCTACTGATCAGATCGAAAAGATTAATGATCAGATTGATTCTTCTGATGTAAAAGAATGCAGTCAACGAATTACTAGTCAAATTCAGCAAATTATTGATTCTCCTGATGTAAAAGAACTAGAAATTACTGGTCAAATTCAAGAAGATACTGATTCTTCTAAAGCAAAAGAATGCGATTTAGAAATTACTGGTCACGAAGCTAATGATTTTTCTAATGTAAAAGAGTGCAATGCGCAATTTACTGAAGAGATTCAAGAAGCTATTGATTTTTCAAACGTAGAACAAAGCAGTCCACAAATTACTGATCAAACTCAAGAAACTACTGATTCTTCTAATGTAGAACAAAGCAATCCACAAATTACTGATCAGACTCAAGAAGCTATTGATTCTTCTAATGTAGAACAAAACAATCTATACATTGATCAGACTCAAAAAGCTAAGGATTGTATTGTAAAAGGGTGCAAAATGGATGAAATGTAGAAATAATTATGAAAAAATATATTTTAAAAATATATTTTGTCATTGAATTTATCAAAATAAATAATATATTATTATAACAAAATATCCTGGTATTATATTTTATTATTATTTATATATTAATATATTATATAAATAATAAAAACTGTAAAATTAATATATATAAAATATAATTTTCTTGAAATTATGTATTTATATATATATAATAGTTTTTTATATAATTTTCATACAATTCTAATATATTTTCCAAAAATTAAATTTTATTTTTAATTATATTCAATTTTACAAAATTATTATTGTCTACTCATATTTCATCAAAATGTTTTATCAAACGATTGTTAAAAAATTTAAAAAGATAAAATTCTGTTAATTCAAAAAGAGAGATGTAATCTACAATTGGAAACAAAGATATCTATAGAAATTAAATTAGAATAAATAACTATAAAAATTGTAATAAAATTAAAATAGCAAGGAATTGTACAAAATAATAAAATTAACTTCGTATTTTTTGTTATTGTTTTTTTTATCATTTTTTTTAGTCTTCTTATGATTTCTACACTAGAAAATAGACTAAAAATATCAATATTATACATTATTATATTATCAAAACAATAGTTTAAGAGTATTTATTATATATTATTTTCTAAAATGACACGCAAAGTGGCGAAAATAGAGAAAACATTGGATAGATACTGAAATATCATTTTGTTATTTTTGATTAAATAATTTACATGTATGTACATAAATAACAATTGACAAATATTAAACTATCTTACCGAGCAATAATAACGCAATGTAAGCTCTGGCAATACACAAACGATAGATAAACTTACTGGTCGTTGAAATATCAATACTTTCAATAAATTCTTTTGCATTTTTAACGTTTGTTTATACCACATTGAATCGTATACCTTTCGTGAAACATTTACGTTCTAAGAAATATGGAAGATTAATTTTACGAGTAGAAAAGAACGTAATTAATCTGTATAAATTAATATATATATATATATATATAAGCTGGGAAAACATTAGCAACACTGAGTAAAATTGGCAATATTAAAATATCATTTTTCATTAATTAAGATGCAAATAAATAAATAACAAATTAAATCATAATAATTTGAAATAATGCATAATAGAATCTATTATAAGATATTCGTTTTAAAAAGAAAAGAAAGAAAAAAAAGAAAAAATTAGACGTATTTTTTTTTAAATAATATTATAATTTTTACTTTATATAGAAAGATTTTATTATACAAAAATCTGCTAATTTTTCCCAATTTATAAATATAAATGGAAGATAATAATAAAATAATAAATGGAAGATCATTTACCATATCTGTCATATAATCGGCTGGCCATGTATACATATAAATTTCTGCTAATAAAGTCATACATATAACTACAAATTGATATTTCAAAATTTTTGAAACACACACATTGAAACAAGCACATTCTATTTATGAATTGTATTAGTTAGTCTATTATTATTATGAAAAGTTATAATCAATCTCTTACCGTAATTAATATAATACCAGCTAAAGTAAGGACAAGTGTGCTCAGTCCAATGGCATTAAATATTATAAAACGAAACCCATTAATCACTTTTTTTGCATACCTAAAGAAAAAAGAAACATTTATATTATATAATTATAATCAATTTTTTTTGTTTCTTATTTAATCTTAATTAATCTTCTTAATTAATCATTTTATCAATAAAAATTTATCAATATAAAATATATTTGTAAAAAGAGTATAAAAAAGATAGAAACAATCATTTTACAATATAATAATATTGTTATTTTTAAAACTATATAAATAATTGTATAAATTTAAATAAGAAATTTTATTTCCAAACAATCTATTTTACAGATTTCTTTACAATAATAATAAAATTGATAAAAATTTGCAATCTTCTCTTTAATATTAATAAAATAATAGAAAAATAAAAATAATTAATTTATAATTCATTTATTTAAAAAAATAATAAATATCCTATTTTATCTCTTATTTTCATAATAAATAAAATATATAATTAATCCAATAAATACAAATAAATTGATTAACTTTACCTTCATAAATGTAGCTGTTTTTTAATGCAAATGATCAGCATATCGATATCAGTGGCATTCTGCATTTCAACGCATAAGCACTCAAACCTTGCTGCCGTGAACCAAAATAAAATCCGAACATGCTTATGCACATATGTGCGAGACATTGATAGCTAAGGAAAGATTGATGGAAATATATGATGGCAAATACAGGTATATAATTAAGTTGAAACGGATATTCCGCATCGCATGGAAGAGAAGTTGACATGAATACAGGTCCAATCGTAAATGCCAAAGCGGTCAAGTACACACACATTATGCTACATCCCCAAACAGTTTTAAGTTTCGCGATATATTTCTGGAAAATTTCTATCTCATATTCTTGCGCTTCTTTTATGCAGATTTTCATCTCTTCGATTATATACTGCACAATCCCCAATTCAAATATTAATTTTTCACATCACATTTTTTTATAAACGCACATCAGTCATGTATCTATTTGAGAAAGACTTACTTGTAAAGGATAGTACTTTACAAAGCATATTACAGTTTGAATAATATTTTGAGCCACACCTATAAACACGATGATAGTTCTTAAAAATACGACGACATCGTTCGTGTGGAGATAAATTGAATATAACAAAGGCAGGAGCAGCATGCAAGCGCTGACAATACTAATTATCTGTAACACTCTGAAAACGAACACTTGAGTTTTGCCATTATTGACAGGAAGCGGCCAACACAAAGTTAAGACTATGCTCAGCCAAGTAATGTGGATAGCTTTCTCGGCAGTCATTTTTTTTACCATATTTTTGAGGAAATTATTACGAATCGGTTAATGGATTGAACGAAATAAAATTTAACCGGTGCAATAAAACGAAACATACAAGTTGTTGTTTGATTGCATAGTTACATCACTTCGAAAACGAATAAATATTTATGTTGCCTGTATAAAGTTGCTTCGTAAATAAGAGAAATTTAATAAATCATAGTCGTAGTATAACAGTTTAGAACAATGTAATGTTGGTTAATATTTCCCTGCAAGGTACATTTGCGCTGCCAGCTCGATAATAGTAGGTAATTATCGATTGCATTATACATCTGCGCGGTTTTAGACAGGTGCAGTTATCACGCAAACAGATTCAGCATTTCTTTTAAAGTAGAATACGTTTTACTTTTAGAATATTTACATAAGTTATAATAAAAAGATATTATATTCAATAGTATTTAGCCATTTCGTGAAAAGAGAGTAAAAAAATTTATGTCGGAGTGTAAATATTTTTGAAAAAAATTTTTTAAAATAATCAGATTAATTTATATTATTTATATATATATATATATATATATATGTGTATATTTTATAATATTCTATATATATATTGAAGTGTTACATTACATATAATGAAGGTATTATATGTTAAAAATTAAAATAATATAATTTTAATATTATTACTTATTATACATTATTAATTTTAATATTACTATATACTATATATATATATATATTATATTTATATAGAATATATATATTTCTTAAATAACTTGTTAATTGTTTTGTTCGTCAATATATTTAAAATAATGATATTAATCAAGATAATAATAAATTTTTAAATTATATTTTTTTAAATTCTTTCAGCTTTTCTAATTTTGTTGTAATGTTTCTCATTCTTCAAACGATTATTTTAAATCAATTAATATTTTTTAATTACTTTAAATATAGAATTTTTAGTTTATTTATATTAATAATATTTTATATATAATTATATAAATATAATATTTCAATTATATCTTTTATTTTTTTCAGTAATTTGAATGTATTGTGAATTCAAATTTACGAGGTATTATTCTTTTAAGAATTATATGTGGTTATTTATAAATATTTATGAAAGATTATAACTAAGAAGGAAAATGAATATTAATTTAAACATAAAGATTTGTATTAATATATTTTTTTTTAAACTATTATCTCATTGACATTGTAAAAAGAATGGTGCAACTTGTATAAGCATCATTAATCTTTTCATATCGAAAAATGAATATTGTAAATGTGTAATGTAAGAAATGTAATTGTAAGAAATGAGTACAATAATATAAAGAAATAATAATAGTAGTAAATAAAACATATATATATATATATATATATATAAATAGAAGTAAATAAAACAATTTTAAATCAAGTCAATTCAATTCAAAGTGAATACTAGAATAGAAGAATAAATTTTTTAATTTATAATAACTAGTTTATATAGTTTAAATAACTATAAATACCTTAGCATATTTGTAGGAATTTCGATTATTTCCTTTTAATTTGGCTTTTTCTCGTTTTTTTTTTTTTTTAGTTACATCCATGTCTTTCCTGGACTAAGATTTTTTAATAAGAAAAATGTGCAATAAAAAAGAAATTATCTTAAAATTTTAAAGGTATAAGATATTTTGTCAAAAATTGTTGATTCAGTTGATTGAAGACTCAGTATCGAAATGAAGATTAGACTCTATGTGAAAAATAATAATGCACAGAATCATAATAATTAATTGCATTTTTTTAATTGCTTGGAGAAAGTACGAAAAATTGTATTTATTGATTATTGAAATAATTAATGTTCCAATATGGATCCTCTGATCAGATCTGAAATATTAGTGCAATAATCATATTAATAGAACAAGCTGATCTTCTTAATCCTTTTTCCAAATCAACAGAAAATGAGTCGAATTTTTAGTTCCTGATATTTCCAGTGAAATGTAATTAGGTAATTAGATTAAGAATATTTGTAGAAAATTAAAATTTAATTAATTTATGTATGTAATAATCCTTTTGAACAATTTTTTTTCTGTACATATAATCTTCAGTCATCCGTAATTTTCGAAATATTTATAAAAAATAATTGCTGCTATTGCAATGAATTTTACCTATACTTATGTATTCCGTAACTTTTTGTTTGATTACTTACTTTTTTTTATTTATATGGTAATAATGAATTAATCTAATAGTTTGAATTTAAAGCACCAATTCCAACATATATTAATCTTGAATACACATATTCTTAGATTGTGTTATAATAAAATATAAAATAATTTTTGGACAATCGGAATTATAACGATCAATTTTATATTATAAAATTATATAATTATGTATTATTATAACATATATTAATACAATTTATTAATTGATTAAAATTAATTATAAGAATTTTTAGTTGATGATTTATGAAATTATCAGTCAGTTAATTTTAAATAAAAATATCTATATATATATATATATATATATATTATTAATTTTATAGCCAAGGAAATATTAATAAATTATTTATTAAATAATAAAAATTTAATCGTTAAGCTCATTGAAATATTTTAACAATTACTTAATAAAAAAATTAAATTTATGATGGATTATTTTCTATGATAACACGTATAGCTGTGAAGATAGAGAAAGCATTGGACAGGTACTAAAATATAATAATTTTTTTACTTATATATTATTATTCATAACTGATATTTGATTGTTGATTTAACTTACCGAACAATAATAACGTAATGAAAGCTCTGGCAATATACAACTAATAGAAAGAATTATCGGCTGCTGATATATCAATACGTTTAATAGATCTTTTTGCATTTTCAATGTCTGTTCATACCATGTTATATTATATACACTTTTTGAAAAATTTATACTCTAAAAAATATGAACGATTCTGTATATTTAAAAAAAATATATATATAATTATAGATGTAAATAATACAATATAATTTACCATATCCTTCATATGATCAGCAGGCCAGGCATACATATAAATTTCTGTGAGTAGAGTCAAAATCAAAGTTATGAACTGTACTTTCACAATAAATGGTGCCTTCTGTTTATGATATACATGTTAATTATATTATATATGTTACATTATAAATATAATATAAAATATATAATAATATAAAACAAAAGCTTTACTTACTGTTATCATTATAATACCACCTAGAGTCAGAGAAAATATACTTACTCCCATAGCACAGAGTATTATAAAGCGAAAACTAATTACCACTCTTTTTGCGTATCTAAAGAAAAAAAAAGAAGAACTGCAATAAAAATACAATATATTCGAACAATGTAGCTAGAAAATTTAAAGGATAGTTTTAAAAGCAAATTAGAATGAAAATAAAGTATAAATAATCTTTTTTACACGAACTAATATAGACAAATAGTTCAAACAGAAAATACAGTGATTTAATTTAAATCAAATAATAGAAAATATTTATTTTGACATTATCACATAAAAAATACTATTTTGAGATAAATTGAAATATTTTATTGAACTATAAAACAATAGAATTTCAAATACCAATATTTCAAATTATACAATCAAAAAATTATACATAAACAATTATATTTCAAATTATACATAAACAAACCATATTCAATTCAAATTCAACATTTACAAAAATAAAAAAAAAATATTATCATTCATGATACTTATTGATCTATAATTAATCTAATTAATATAAATATAATAATGAATTTTATATAATAATAAGTTATGAAGAGATTATTAATTATCAATTGAAAAAAGAAATTTCTTGGCTTATCCCTTAACCTTTCTACATTTCATTCAAACATATAAACATATAATTATGTCATTACCTTCTTATATGTAATTGTTTCTTAACGCAAACAATCAGCATACCAATATCTGTGGTTTTTTGCAATTCCACGGCCAAACATTCAAATCTTGCGGAAGCGAACCAGAGCAAAAGCGCGCCAAATATGCTCAAGCATGCATGTCCAGCGCATTGAAAAGCAACTAAACTCTGTTGCAAATATATGATAATCTTCACTGGTATATAATTAACTTGAAACGGATATTCTGCATCTGCTGGGAAAGAGACTGGCGACAATACAGGTCCTATTATGAAAGCGGTTGCAGTCAGATATATACATGCTATAGAATATCCGTAAAATGTGTGGCACTTCTCTATATATTTGTGGAAAATTTTCTTTTCATATTGTTGTGCTTCTTTGACATAAATTATCATTTCTTCGACTACATGCTGTAATTTCGAAATTAAATTTACAATTTTCATTCAATATTGAATTTCGTTAATTATTTTTTGGCATTCGTTTTTTAAGAGATATTAATAGTAAAGCTACTATATAAATCTTATTATATACTTTTACACGAAGTAATATTTTGTATTATCAAGTTTGAATATTCTTTCGAACTTATAAAATTAACAATTGAGATTTGAAAAGTACAACAAATATTTGAAAAGTATTAACAATTGTATTTGAGAAAATCAAACATGAAATATAAGAAATATATATATACATATACTGAATAAACAATAAATATAAACATATACTCAATGTTTTACTAAAATTATAATTTTAAAATTAGAAAAATTTTTTTGCAACTAGAAAAAAAAATTATTTATTTATTTTCGAAAATTCGATTGCTCACAGTTGTTCAAATGATTTCAAAATTCATATAATTTTAAATGATTTCATGTATCAGAGTTTAAAAGAACAGTAAAATAATCAATTGTATAGTTAAATACTTAAATACTTTACTTAACTTTACTTAACTTTACTTTACTTAATTTTTTACGTGGTAAATAAAAATATGGTAAATAGAATAAAATGGATAGAAACTTACTTGCAGATAATCGTATTTGACAAAGCATATAACAGTCTGTGCGATTACTTGAATCAAGCCTACTGACAAAGAAATAGATTTAGAGATAATGATAATATCATCGAAATGCAGATAAACCGAATATAACAACGGCAGAAGTAACATAGAAACATTAATAATACTAATTATCTGTAAAACTTTGAAAATAAACACTTGAGTTTTACTACTGTTGAGAGAAATTGGCCAACAAAAAGTTATAGCTACGCTGAGCCAAGTAATGTGGATAGCTTTCTCGGATATTATTTGTTTTAACATAATGACAAGAAACTCTTTGTTTTACGAACAATATTTAATTGGTACAGTAGAACGATAGAATGTGAAGACTATCTGTTCAGTTAAGTTGTTACATTGATTTGAAAGCAACTGAATATTTCTTGAAGTATAAAATTGGTTCATAAGTAAGAGGAATTTGATAATAATGTTATGTAAGAATAAGTAATGTATCGTTTATCGATTTTCTAATAAATAATCCGAAATAATTATTTTTTTATCGGGTAACTGAACGATAATATGTAATTATTGGTTATTGTATTATACATACATAGACTTGGTACTTGAAAAATAGATAAGTTATTAAGCAACACGCATAAGAATGAAGTTATCTACATATTAAATCGGTCATTATAAGAATTTACTCTTACGATATTTACGAGATGGTATAGCATGCAAAACGTTGAAATGGTGGGAAAAAATTTTTTCTAGTTTGAAACACTCAATTGTGAGTGTTGTATGTAATGTAAAGAATGAAAAAATGTGCAATAAAAAAGAATAATCATAAAATTATTGATTTCGTGAATTAAAGATATAATATAGAAATCACGACAAGGTTCATGATGTGAAATAAGCGACAATAAACATAACAGCTACATTTTTTAATTTGTTTGAAGGAATAACGAAAGAGTGTATTTCAAATATAATATCTGAAGAAAAAGAAAATAAATGAGAACGAAGCGCAACAGCAAAATTCTTGTTTGCTATTATAATTTCCTATAAAAATTCTTCTAATATTATTTAAAATTCAATAACCTTAAAAATAATTATTTTTATTGATATAATAAATTTTTATTCATTAATGGTAAATATATGAATAATATAATGAATAAATTTTTATTCATTAATGGAAATATAATAATTTAAATATACTAATATTAACTAATAATCAATGAGAATCAAATCAAACTCTGGTTCCTAGTAGTGGAATGCAAAAGTAACTAGATTGTATTTACGGAAAATTAAATTTTAGTTATTTTAGAAACGTGCGATATCCTCATAGATTTTGATCATTTTTAGATATCAAAATTATTGTAGAGACGTTGTTGTAGAGATCAAAATTAAAAATAATTTCTTTTTATATATACAATCGATGATTAATCTTAGTTTTCGAAATATTTGTAATAAATGATTAATACTATTATATTGTATTTCTCCTATTTTTATGCATTCGTGACAATATGTGCACACGACGATCTTTTATTCACTTCTTATATTAACACTTCATAATAACGAGTAAAGATATAACGGATGAACAAATCAAAATACTGCTTTCTCATGAATTTTGGCTAGTTCAAAATCTTAATTCCAAAGTATGCTTCGATACTTTATAATAAATGTTAAAATAAGATTTATATATATATATATATATATATATATTTAATCTTCTAAAACAATTTTTAGAAGATTAAAATTGATAGAAATTATGATACTAGCAATATCAATATTAAATTTAATATATATCATTATACTTTTAAATATGATTTATTAAATAATTAATCCTGCAAAAATTAATTATAAAAATTCTTTGTTATTTAATTAATTATTTGTTATTTAAATTTAATCCAAAAATTGTCAACTAAATATCAATCGCTCTGAATCATCGTTTAATAAAGAAAAGATAGATTGATTATAGATATGCAATTCGAATCGAACATTTATTTAACAATGAAACAACAATTATTAATTATTAAATTTAAATACACCACTTCGTATAAAAATTTAACTGATGAAATATCTGAATATATAACAATTATATAATAGAACAATATTAAATTTATCATGAATCATCTTCTATGATGACACGTATAGCTGTGAAGATAGAAAAAGCATTGGATAGATACTGAAATATTATCATTTATATTAACTTATATTATAATTCGTATTTGAATATTAATTTGACTTACCGAGCAATAATAACGTAATGAAAGTTCTGGCAATATACAATTAACAGAAAAGATTATTGGCCGCTGATATACCAATACGTTTAAGAGATCCTTTTGCATTCTCAATGTTTGTTTATACCATGTTATATTGTATATACTTTTTGAGACATTTATACTCTAAGAAATATAAGCGATTCAGTGTATTTCAAAAAAGACAGATATATATGTTACATATATTTATATATTGATAAATATATGCAATAATTCACCATATCTTTCATATAATCAGCAGGCCATGCGTATATGTAGATTTCTGTGAGCATTGACAAACTCAGAGTTATAAACTGTATTTTCACAATTAACGATGCCTTCTGTTCATGAATGAAAATAATTAAATTATATATATTATCGTATATATACATATATAATATTGAAAATTTTACTTACCATTATCATTATAATACCATCTAGAATCAGAACAAATATACTCGCTCTTATGGCACAAAGTATTATAAAACGAAAACTAATTACCACTTTTTTTATCTAAAGAAAAAAAAAAAAAGAAGGGAGAACTAATTTCAATAAAATTACAATATGTTCAGATAATGTAGTTAGAAAATTTTAAGTAGTTCTAAAAACTAAAATAAAATAAAAATGAAATATAAAAAAATTTTGAAGATTTTATTTTTTAATGACTAACAATTAAAAATTGACGTGAGCAATCTTCTCTGTTTAAACGAAATATAAAAGACAATTCAGCAGAAAATGATTTTCAAATATGTAAATTAAAAATCTTAAATTCCGTTGTCTTCTATTTTCATCTTATTTTGGTTTTTTGAATTATAACAAACTTTTTACCTACTCCCGAACATTCTACATAAATATATAATTTAATCCACGATTTATACCTCCTTATACGTAATTGTTTTTTAACGCAAGCTATCAGCATACCAATATTGGTAATTTTTTGTAATTCCACGGCCAAACATTCAATCTTGCAGCCGTGAACCAAAAGCGCGCCAAATATGCTCAAGCATACATGTGCAGCGCATTGAAAGCCGACCAAAGTCTATTGCAAGTATATGATAATCTTCACTGGCGTGCGATTAATTTGAAAGGGATATTCTGCATCTATTGGGAAGGAGGCCGGCGAGAATGCAGGTCCTATTATGAAAGCAGTTGCAGTTAAATATATGCATATTATAGAATACGCATAAAATGTGTAGCATTTTTCGATATTTGTGAAAAATTTGTTCTTCATATTGTTGTGCTGCTTTGATACAAATTATCATTTCTTCGATTACCCGCTGTAATTAAAAATTAGAATTAGAATTTTAGAGATGTTATCCTATATGATAATTCGTGTTATTTTGATTTTGATGAATTCATTTTAAGGGATATTATTATAAAAAACTACTACATAAATATTATATAATGATGAATTATTACATATTTTACGCTAATTCAATCAATATTGCGTATTGTAAATAATTTTTATTCGAACTTATAAAATTCACAATACAAATTGCATTTGAAATGTGAGAATATGCACAAACTTTATTTATAGAAAGATCATGAATTAAAGAAAAAATACTTACCGAAAAAAATCACCACATTACATATATATAAATATCAAATAGCATTATACATTATAAATTATATGTATATATTTACATTATATATTTTTATTACATATATATATTTAATATATATATTATACATATATCATACATATAATATATATACAACGTTTCATTAAAATTAAAATTTTTGAGATTTTGGAAAAATTTTTTTTAAATAAAGAGAAAAATTATTTATTTGCTCTCGAGAATTCGGCTGTTCACAAAAGAACTGTTTAAGTAGTTTCAAATGATTTCGTGTGAATTTGTATCAGAATTATATATAAGAGCAATAAATGTAATCAATGGTTCTAACAATGTAAAATAAAATATTTAATTTTTTACATAAAATGCGGTAAATAAGATAAAATGTTTGGAAACTTACTTGCAGGGAATCGTATTTAGCGAAGCATATGACAGTCTGAGTGATTACTTGAGTCAAGCCAATTGACAGAGCAACACATTTAGAGATAATGATTACGTCATCAAAATGCAAATAGACCGAATATAACAACGGCAGAAGTAATATAAAAGCATTAATAATGCTAATTATCTGCAGAGTTTTGAACATAAACACTTGAATTTTACCACTATTGGCAGGAAGTGACCAACACAACGTTAAAGCTACGCTGATCCAAGTTATGTGGATAACTTTCTCAGATGTCAATTGTTTTAACATAATATCAAGAAACTTTTCGTCTTATGAATGGAATTTTATTAATAATATGGAATTTATGAATGGAATTTAAAATAATATTTTGCGTATGTACAATAGAACGATAAGACAATAAAATGATATGTAAACGTCGTTACACTGATTCAAAAGCTGAATATTTACAGATGTTATCCGTGTAATTTGTCTTTTAAGTAAGAGGAATTTCATATGAAACATAATAGTTAATGATAACGTATCGATCAATAATTTCCTAGTAGTTTTCTTGCTACTAGATAACTAGATAATAATATGTAATTATTAGATGCATTATATATATATTAGATGCATTATATATGCATGCATCTTAGCACGATTTGTGTTACTAGAAAAACGAATAGGGTGGTTATCAAGAGTCGTATTCACAAATGAATAATATTGTAAAACGTTCTTTAGTCTAGCGTTCTAACGTTACCTACATATTTAATCGCTGGAATAATTCATCTATTGACAAGGTTATAAACTATACAAGAAATTGTAATTATGGAGTAAATCTTTCTTAAGATTTAGAATCCCATATCCGTTGTCTCTACGTGTGTATTATAAAGAATATGCAATAAAAAAGAATAATCGCAAAATTATAACGCACGAGGTATTTTGTAAAATTGTTGTTTTGATGAATTGAAAATTTAATATTAAATCATGAGATAATTTTAAAAATTTTATCTCATGGTTTCGCAATGTGAAAAAAAACGACAATGACAAAACCATTATAATTAACTTTTTATTTTTCAATTGTTCGAAAGAAATATCAAAGATTGAACTTGT